GGGGGGCCTCCTCTTCCGGCTGACCTTGCCCAGGGCTCGGAAACAACGAGGCTGCGGGCCGCGGGGTTCACGGCGACAAGGATCCAGCTCCCTGTGTCGCCGCGGCCCGGGGCCGGCGGTGGCCCCCGAGGCACCTCCGCAGAGACATCGAAAATTGGGCACAGGCGTAGCCACTGTAGAAGCCCCACGCTGCTGGTGCGCCAGAGGGAGCGCCCAGGCGTCGACCACCCCACGGGCCGGGTCGAAGATCATGCGATGAATCATTCTCACCAGTGTCATGGGGTGTATTTGAACAATCATGTGTCTTTTGCGGCCCGAAGAGACTTGCTGCCGACGCTTCGCGCGGACCGGCTGGCACTAAGGCCTGCTGTGCGAGCAAAATCGGGACTTTAAATGGATGTATGTTCTCCATGAGACCCCGGGGTGCGGAAACGAGGATGGGTCTCCAGACCTGCATGCGGTTGGCCCTCATTGCGCGGCCCATCATCTCAAAAAAGAAAAAATACCCCCACACACAGCCGAAGTGGGTCTGGAGAGTGGGCCCGAGGATTGCCAGGGAGAGAAGTCCCCCAGTCAGGAGGGTCTGTCCATGGTGACTGATGCATGTGTGCGTGTGCGTGCACGCGCACACAAGTGTGCCCTCTCTCCTCCGGCCCGGTGTGTCTGTTGGTACTCATTGGCGCGGAGCACCCTCGCTTCCGGCCCGCTAGGGTGGGACATCGATTGATTTGGTTCCAGGGCTCGGCCGGTGGTGTACAGAGCGTAGACACGGCAGGGCTGCTGCGACGCGGGGGGGGGGCGAGGAGGGGCAACTGCGGCGTGGCGGCCCCGGACAGGGGGCGGATTGATGGTTGGGGGGGGGGCGAGAGGGGGCCAGAGCGCAACAAACAGGGACTCACGCCTCGCCCAAGTCCGGGGGGCTGCTGCTGGTGGCGGCCTCCCGAACAAGGGCCCTCTGTTGTGTGGGCTTCGTTGCGAGTCAGGGCTGCTGGTTGCTTCTCCCTCTTCCCCCCCCCCGACCCCCGCGACCCCCCACGGCTGCGCGCGCCCCGCTGTCCGCCGACCACTGGGTCTCCACAGCAGCCGAGCGGGGTGGGGTGGGGGGTGGGGGGTGTGTGGGGCGGGGGGCGGGGGGGGGGCGGGGGGAGGGGGGGGACAGACGCGGGCCGGGGGGAGTGGGCGCGGGGCGCCTCTGCCCACACTGGGTCCCTCTGGTGGTGTCCTCTCCCCCCTCTTTTTTTTCCCCCCCCCCCCCCCTGCCACGGGCGGCCGGCAGGGACGAGCCCGGAAATGGACGTTTTTCTGGTCCTGCCCTATGGCCATTTCCACGATTGGAGACCTCTTGGCTCAAGTAATGTATTTTGTTGTTAACATACACACTTCTGAGTCTCGGTACCTCTCCCTCTCCTCCTCCTCCTCCTCCTCCCCCCCCTTCTTCCTGTCGCATTCTTGCCCCCTCCTCCCGCCGCCCTGCCTGCCCTGCCGCCGCCCATCGTCACGCCCGTGCACCCCGCCGTGGGGGGATCGCGCGCGCGCCCCCCTTCCGACCCGTCTCTCGTTGTCCCTTGCTGCCAGGGGGGAAACGCTGCCCTTTTGGTGCCGTGCTCGGCGCCATGCACACGCACATGCTTGGGTGTGTCTGCGCATACGCCCGTGCACACCCACTTCTGCCCGCCCTCCTGCTGGATCGAGAGGCCGCGCGCCGGCTGTCGCCCGGCGTCGTGTGGGTGTGTGCGCGTGTGCGCGCGCACGCGTTCATGGATTAGTGCATATCCCCCCCCCGCCAAGGGGGTAAGTATCGCCAAAAATCGGATTCACCCGCGGAAAAGTGCATCCGATGGCGGGACGTGGCGTTTCCCCCCCTGCGCATGCGAGAGGCGGGGGCCATCTTGGCGGAGGGAGGGGGGCCCGCAGACATCGCGTCTGGCCCTTCTCCATATGAGGGCCCGCGGCCTGGGCCCATTGCGTCGGCTTTTCCTCCTCCTCCCTTTGTGCTTCTCCCTCCCCCCTCTCAAGCATTTTCACCCACTCACCCCCCCTCCCGGCACTCCCGTCTCCTCCTTCTCCTCCTCCTCCTCCTCCTCCTCCCCCCAGTCACGATGCACATCTCTAAGGACCACCGCAAGACCATTCTGTCCACCCTCTTCAGCGGTACGCATATGCGGTTGCTTTCTCCCTTGTGACATTGTCTCTGCCCTTCGTGCGCACGCGCGCGCCTCCTCCGGCCAGGGGAATCTATCGCCCTCGGCAGGCCATCTGACCCCCTTCGTCGTTCCCCCCCCCTGTCGCGCGCGCTGTCCCTCCCTTCCCCCTCCCCCTTTCCGCTGCCTCTCCTCCCACAGAGGGTGTCATTGTCGCCCACAAGAACACCAACGCCGAGAAGCACAAGTACATCGCCGATGTCAGCAACCTCGCCGTCATCAAGGTCTGCCAGTCCCTCACTTCTCAGGGCCATGTCACCCACCAGTACAACTGGAACTTCCACTACTACGTCCTGACCGACCAGGGCATCGAGTACCTGCGCGGTGTTCTCGGTCTCCCCGAGAAGGTCATCCCTGAGACCCTCAAGGTCAAGGCCGTCCCCACCCCGATCGCTCCCCAGAACGACCGCCGTGGCCCCGCTCGCCGTGGTCCCGGTGGCGCCGAGGGTGGCTTCCGCAGCAGCCGCTTCGCCGGTCCCGAGCGCTCCAGCTTCCGCTCTGCTCCCCGTGCCCCCGCTGCCGCTCCCCAGCAGGCTTAAATCGGTTTCTCCTCGCTCCTTTTTTTCCCGATAGAGGCGAGAGGGACTGATTTCTGTGAGTGCGCGCGCGCGCGTGCGGTGCAGCATGTGTGAGCAGGGGGTGATTGGGTGTGCGCGTGCATGCGTGTCCTTTTAGTGTGCGCGTGTGCGCACGCGCGCGTGCCCTTCTCTCAATGGAAGAGAGCGGAGGGGGGGATCGCGCTTGTCGTTGTTGTTGTTTCCCCTACGGCGACGGCGGCGCGGCGGATGTGTCCGGGGCGGCGGCTCCGGTTGGTTCCCTCCTCCCCCTCCTCGCTGCGCGCGCGTATTTTGCGCTCTCTCGGCCTCACCCGCCGGGGGTGTTCCTCCTTCTCCCCCTCTCACGTCAGGCGTGTGATGGTGGTGGGGGGAGGGCGCGCGGCTCCTCGGGGGCATCCCCCTTTCCCTTGTCGTGTCATGCACAATGTGACTCTCTTCTCCCCTCTTTCCTCTCTTCTCCCCCCTTCCCTCTCCCGCACACAACAAACCATTCTCTCCAAATCATGTCCTCCTCTCCCCCTTGTGGTTCCCCTTTCTTCCCCCGCGCCGCGCGTGTGCCCTCCGTCCTCCATGTTCTTTTTTCTGCGCCCACATATCATATGCACGCACAGGGGGCGGGGGGGGGTGGGGGGTGGGGCAGCATTGTTGAGCACCGCCGTTTCCCTGTGTGAGCTGCTCCTCGGTTGCCAGCAGGGGCAGGAGAAGAGCCCGGCCTGCTTTTCTGCCTTCAGACAGAGGGGGCTCCTTCGGCCCGGGGTGCCGCAGTTGTCCGAGGGTGTCTCTCTGGACCCGGCCGACACACATGAGCTGGGGTGGTGCGGGAGGCGTCACCTCGCTCGGCGCCCCCGCGCCCCGCCGCGATCAGCCCTGACCAACGGGCGCCGAGCTGTCGAGGAACGCACCCAAGAGCCACGGCGCCTGGCCACCACGAGCGCCGGGTTGGGTCCCGGCCGCTGGCGAGCTCACCATCCTGGGTGCCCTTGAAAGAGGCCCTCGTATGGGGGGGGGGGAGAACGGGCGGGCGGCGCACGTAGGCATCGCGCACATGGAAGGGTGCCGTCATCACGGCGGGGCACAATTGCCCGCAGAGGCGCGGAGCTCTTCTTCTCGTTCGTGTGTCTGTGTGTGTGTGTGTGTGTGTGTGTGTGTGTGTGCGCGTGTGTGTTTTGGGTGCCTACTCCCCTCTATTTGGCTGCCACCGGCATCCGAGGGAAAAGGAGCGAGAGGCGGCCCATGTTTCGGACGTTGGCAGTGAGGGGGTGTCGGTGTTTGGGGAGCTACTGCCCTGCCTGGCTGTGTGGCGGGGAGAGCGGAGCCCCGGCCGGGCCTTGAGCCGTTAGCCCAAACCCGGAGACAGGCGATCCGGCGCGGCCAACGGTAGCTCCTCGTCCGGTAGCAGGGCGAGAGACGCCTGGGGCGAAGTAGCGATAGTGCCATCGGATGTGGCAACTGCCGGTGCTTAACCCAAGCATATTTCCGACATTCTGTCAATGCGCCCGCCCTCGTTCGTGGCTATCGCGCCTTGGAGGAGGTGGCGAATGGAGGCAGACCTGGGGGGCTTGATAGCCCGCGCCGCGTCGCCGAGTTCCCTTCCGGCCGGTGTGGCGGCGTTGCTTCGAAAAAAAAAAAGAAAAAAAAAGGAAACTCGCGCCCAGCGGCCTCAGGGCAGCAGGATCCTCCCCGCCCCCCCCACCAGCCGGGGCACCACCTCTCGGTGTCTTGTCCCCGCCCTGGCACAGCGCCCCGCTTGGACGACAGCGAGCGGTACCCCGCCCGGGAGAAGACCTCCTGTGTCTCAGGCAGGAGGCCGGTACAGGGGGCTCTGTGCTTGGCGCGCGCCTCAGGCTCCTCCAGGGGCTGCGCCCCCGGCGTGTGACCTCTCGCGAGGTTTCCACAGGGGATGGCCACTTTTTGGGGGAGGCAGCACCTGTCTCTGGGCGGGACCGGGCGCGATGGCTTCCAAATGCTGGGATTCCGGTCTGTCCGTCTCGACCATCTCATGCCACAGGGGACCGCGGTCGAGCGGTCCCCTCCCGGGCGCGCCTCCCCCTCCGGGAGATATGGTCCTCTCTCGGCTGAGGCCCACACTCTAGACGCGTCGGGTTCGCGTCCCCCCCTCTGGGGGAAGAGAGCATCCGACGCCGTTGCCCTGGAAGGAGGCCGGGCAAAAATGAAGACTGTCCGAACCAGGACTCGAACCTGGGACATTCTGTGTGTTAGACAGATATGATAACCATCTACATCATTCGGACACAAGGGGGAGAAAGAGAAATGGGTAGAAATAACATTTTTCGTCCTTTTCAGCGGCCCGACGCTCCTGGTCGAAAACGAGGGATGCTTCTCTCCCGGTCAGGCGCCCGAAGGACGGGGGGGGGGCAGGCGGGAGGGCCAGGTCGCACACCAATGTGAAGACGCGCACAACAGGACAGATCCTCGGACAACCGGGGAGTGGCGCGAGTAAAAAAGCAATGTGGCCCCAGCCAGGATCGAACTGACGACCTTCGCGTTATTAGCACGACGCTCTAACCAACTGAGCTATGGGGCCCTTGTTGGTAAGTGGGCACCTGGATTCTCTTAAATCGGCGCCAGCCACGCGCCAAAGCTGGCTTCTGGGTCCGCCCCCCCCCCCCCCCCCCCCC